GTGGGGCTGGTGTGGTGGAATGCATCGGCTGACAGTACCCCGGGCGTGACAAAATAGTTATGGGGATTTGCTCCGATTTTTTTCTCTACTTTTTACAATTTTAAATCTAAAGCCTTTTGAATACTTTTCCATGTTTGGCACATGAAAGAAAGTATAAAACAGCAGAAAAAAATGGATTGAAAAGAACTTTGGTCGTCATGGAAACCCCAAAAAAAAACCCCGTCATTTTGAAATTTTTTGGTAAGTTTAAAAATGCTAAGGTTTTATTTATTTGTGAACTTATAGCAAAGAAATTTAAACTGCTTTTATTTCAGTATATATAAAAAAAAATTATCATGACAACTTTTTGAAGTAAATAATAGTAAAATTTTTACAAGGTTTAAAATATCGTACCCTTTTTAGTGTCCAAAATTTAAAAAAATTTGAATATAATTTATCAGATACTTTTTCTATGAAAGCTATCACACTTCCCTCGTGACACAAACTGTATTTTTGCATGAAGAACAACTACTAAAAATATGGTGGGCATTGGTAAATAAATAAAAAGTAGTAGGCTTTTTTAGTGTTAAAACCGGCAAACTGAGAAAACAAGTAATTAAAAAAAGTCTAGTGACAATTTTAGCGCAATTTCCTTGTGTTATCTAAAAAAGCTCTGTCGTAGCGTAAATCAAGAGCAGGGTTAGTAAAACCATTGGTTAGTTTTAAAACGTTTTTTATTAATTTTTTTTCAGTATTTTACATGTTTTATTTACAATAGAGTAACATGACTAAAAACCATTGCGCGCCAAGCTACCGAACGTGACGTCGCAGCCATTGAACGTGATGGCGCAGCTATTTAACGTGATGACGCGTGTGGTGTGGTTGCATAAAATGCCTACTAATTCGGTCCAAATTTTAATTAATTCAAAAAATATTTTGTGACCAAACGAAAGGATATTTTTGAAAACTTTCTTCGGCAATATTGTTCTAAATTATGGCAAAAATCGATTGGTACATGTTTCAAGTCGCTAAGTGGTCTGGTTGCCGAGTTATGGGCCAAAAACTACATTTTTTCCGAGGTTTTTTGGCTTTTCCGGGAAATCCATGAAAGAAACCCGGAATTTTTATGGCCTATGTTCATCCTCGTAACTTGCTTAACATAATTGCTTTGGAACTAGTCCTCGATATTGCTTCGTTGAGGAGGAAATACGACTTAAAGCTGCGGACACACATCCATCCATCCATTCATTCCCAGAAAAGACGAGTTAATAAACGCAATTCTCCAGAATGGAAATTGCGCTAAAAAGCTAAATGTAACGAAAAGTTGGTCACAAGATTACCATATCTGTGTAATTTGTAAAGCCTATTGTAAGTTTTGGGTGTTTCCAAGATGATGAAAATTAAGATTATCAAAAAAATGGAAAATTAAGCAATCCAGTGATGCAAATAGAATATCATAATGGGCATACAACGTTTTCGTAGAGAGCTTGTAAGATTGGGAAAAAATGAATTTCTGTTTAATAGGTCATAAAAATAATATTTGAAACACACAAAAAATTCTCATTAAAGTTATTATTTTCTTAATTCCAAAATGGATAAAGTATGCAAACTGCAAGAAACCGATCATGACGAAAAACCGGAAATTTGGTTATTTTTTTAAGGAGCATATCTCCTTAAGGGAAACTAAGGTCACTAGTTTCCATAGATTTTTAATTTTTTTTTACAATAGCAGAGGCGGGGGGGGGGGGGGTGAGACACCTCAGGATGTCACATGACCTAGTGACGTGACAGTGAAACGCGCATTGCTCAATTTTCTCAGAAAATATTTAATAAAAAATATTTCTTATTTCTCAACACCTGCGTATATTTCCTAATATATTATACTACTTATATTTTTTCAAGAAAATGCGTCACTATTGTCACAGTGTAGTATTTTATTTAGCTTTTACAAATCTTTTTACTTTCTCGTATATACGAAGTATAGAGAAAGTATTGTAATCGTGCAAAAAAAAAATCAAGATTTTTACAAATCTCGACGTTTTACAGCTCACTGATACGGAAAAACATAATTTTGTAATCTTGTCCGTATGTCTGTGTGTCTGTGTGTGTGTGTGTGTCTGTGTGTAAACACGATAACCTGAGTACCGTTACAGCTAGGTTGATAAAATTTCATATATAAGTATTTTATCAAAATCGTAGATCAGTATCAACTTTTGAGCGATTTCCGAAAACCGAAAGTAATACTTTTTCTACTTTGAATTTTTACAAAGCCTATAACTTGAGTACTATTTCAGATAGATAAATGAAAGTTCACATGTAAGTAAAAGATCTAATTCTCTACCTTCTGCCAAATTTTGAGTAATTTTCGTTGATCAAAAGTAGTAATTTACGCTATTTCCGATTTCTCAAAAAACCCATGTAAATTTATATAGTACTAATAATATTGCGCTTTATTATGCACATCTTTATTTGGCGTTCACTTGGTGTGCACTTCTTTTTTCTACAAGATTTTATTCTGTTTATAAAAGTTTAACCCTTTATCTACTGACGGTACTTATAAATACCACTTTAATTAAGTGCCTGTATTATTTTTAATTTAATACGAATTTTAAAAATTATTGAGGTAATTAATAGTATTATCTCCCCTGAGTCGCCGGTAGTCGGAGGTATCAATGTTTTTTTTTAAATTAATGGTGTGGCGCCATATTCAATGTCTTGCTATATTGGTAGTTCACAATTGTTCTGTACAGTTCTCACACACGTTCCTGAATTCCCTTTGTTTTACCTTATTTTTCAAGTTTTCAACCCCAAATATTTTTTATTGGCACCTTCAATAGTCAGGCAAACGCGTTTAACTTCTAGTTATACAATTTTAATCAAATTGTCTTTGTATTAGATCGATGTTTACAAGTGGACTTATAAGTACCGTCTGGGCACACGGACATTTTTTTAGGATTTTTAGAAAATGGCAGATTTGTTAGGAGGAGTTACATAAATATTGTCTTGATAATAAATTATCGAAATGTACTCAAAAAATGATATTTACACATTTATAAGAAGGTTTGCATAAGGTTTACCTAAGAAATATTGTAATTACATGTTAATTTCTAGTAGTAAAAAATAACAAGAATAAAGGTATCAGTTGCAGGCTCGTTTACAAGGTTTAGTTTACTGCATTTGTATACCAAAGCCTAGTTCTAGTAGTAAGATTTAATTTGTTAGTTATATTTACTGCAATAAACTGTCTTGCCAACAATAACTAGCATTTACGTAATGTATACCTGTAGACTAGTAATAGTCCATACTTCTGCATATAATATAGATCTATAAGGTAAATTTTAATCAGTAAACAGAAAAGAGTAATCCACTACAGCTATCCTAAACACATTGAGCTCACTTCTATTTATGAACTTTGCACTGTAGTGTAGACTTGTCATAACATTCTAGTAGGCTACAATTATACTAGTATTACTAGTAGTTGTATGCTGAATGACTAGGCTTTTGTTTGTTTATGCGACTCATTGTACTAGTTATTGGAAGCTTCCAGCAAAAGCATATTCATTCCGGCAACCGTTGCTACACCAGAAAGACCGCAGACAAGATTGAGGGAGCATGACATGTCGACTACTTTTGCTGTGTATGCGGCCTAAGATGTGTTCCCATAGAAAATCCAGTACTCAAAATATACTTTTGTGCTGTATTTATGTGTGAAAATTACAAAATGTGATTGTTATGATGATTGCCATGTTATTAGTTAATAAATTGTATCGTTTGTTCCTGTGTTGTAAAAAAAAATATTTGAAAAAAATGTCCTAGATTACTGACGGTACTTATAAGTACCAATATCTGTTTGGGCCATTAAAAATTTATGAAACGAAATTTCCTTCAACATATGCTTTGAATGTGCCAAAAGCAATATAGTAACACATTGTTTAAGTAAAAATCTCATTCAGAACATAATTCCGTAAATAAAGGGTTAAGTATTTAAAATGGATTAAAAGTTGTGCCTTTATCACGAGTTGCCATCCTCTGTTGTTTTATTTAAGAATATTCGAGAAAGTTTGGGGTTTATTTATTTTAAGTTATGTTTTCAAATAATGCTGATACTGTAAAATAACAAGTACATTTTTTTTGTTGAGGTCCAAAGCTTAGTTTTACATGTTACATCATTATATGTTCGTTACAAAATGTTAACAAGATCGATGATTATCATATGTAAAAATAAAGGCTTAAAAATTAATTTCTAAATAATGATATGAAGTATTAATTAGCTCTAAAGCAATTTTAATTATTATGTGATGGAAAAAAAAATAATATAATATACAATTTGGCGCCTGTAATATTTTTTTTATAGCGAACAAACGCAACTATTATAAAAAATATATATTTATTTACTATTCAAATGAAAGTATTGTAGAAGAAAAAATGAAGTTTTATAATGTACTATAAAGTACATTAAATGTACTTCAGATGTATTTCAGATGTACTGAAAGCGTTGATATATCTGGGTAGATGGAATATACGAAACTGAAAACTTTGAGGAATACTTAATTATGGGTATTTCATTATGTTTTTGATTCCTGCTTAGCTTAAGATTATCAAATTTTGTGACAGCACATAACCAGATTATAATTATTGGCGATAATTTTAATTTAAATAACATTTAATAACAATCTGTTATTTTAATAAAGATAATTACACGTAAGATATAGCAACCTAGGGTATACTTGTCAAAACATTTTCAATGGCGGTTAGCGACATGTAGCTTGTCACGTATCACATGACCAGGTCAAGGTCACCATGTTTACAGACAACATTCCATCTAGTGTTTGAAAAAAAATGTCCTCTATAGACCAAAGCGTTCAGTTGGGTGGGGCATGTCACGAACACAGGAGGTTGTCTTGTTTGAAGAAGACGTGCCATTGTGTTTCTTCTGTCGCGCATGAATGACACTTTATCCTTGTTCTGAAGTTAAAAAAAATATGTCACTGTGTGTTTTACGTCAGGATAATATTAAAATTCCCAGACATCTAACGATAAAGAGACGTGTATCGTATGCATCTCTATCCAGTGTTGAATTGTTCAAGAAAGGTAAATGCGGTAAATTATTTGAGAGAATCACTACATTGTTTTTGTACCTATTTTTATGTTTCAAAATAAAATGTAATTATATATATATCTATATATATATATATATGTATCTATATATATATATATATATATTTATATATATATATATATATATATATATATATATATATATATATATATATATATATATATATATATAGTAAGATTATTTTATTCTATCAATGATAATTTAGATCTAAAATTCAAAAGATTGCTTTTGGAAATAAACAAAGAAATAGCATACTGTAGAGTTAAAATTTTGGTTAAAATTTTTGAAGATCTAAGATGTAAATTTAAAACTAGGTAAAATAGTGAAATATAATATAACGTGTTTAGTTATTTGTAGCTGGCAGGACAAGAGTCTTGATCGTTTAATTCTGTTTAAATTGTTTACTGCGTAAAGGTTTAAATGAGCAGTTTTTCAATAACTTAATTTCTGCTACGCAATAATTGCAATGTAAATGAAAGTATTTATTTTATTATTTTATTGAATGTATATAAGATTCAGCGGCAATAGTCAAGATGCTTGTACGACCGTGGCAGTGGCGTAGCCAGGATCGTGTCAAGGGGCGGGGGGGGGGGGGGTTCCAATTTTAACACGGGGACAAACTTTCGATTTGCACCCCCCCCCCGCTCAAACTTTCGATTTGCACCCCCCTCAAACTTTTTATATATACACCGAGGGGTCTGTGGGGGGGATTATGACCCCCCTAACCCCCCCCCCACTGCCTACGCCACTGGACCGTGGACATTACTACATATATTTCTATGGATATCTGCAAACGTTATCCGAACCATTCACAGTAAAATGTTATGAACGGGACAAGAGACTTATGTCGTTTATTGGTGAATTAAAAAGCCGTTTTTCGAGTCAGGTTTTACCCAAAGTAGAGACGTCGCGATGGGGAGGGGGGGGGGGGGGGGGGGGTTCTGGGGGTTTGGACCGCACCGGGTGACACCTTTTAGGTGGTTGACACCAAGGCTAAAAAGGCAAAAAAAAAATAGAGAAAAAAAAGATAACTACAGTTAAATGAATGATTAATTAGAGTTTTAATAGTCTTGTAAAAGCCAAGTTTACAAATCCGGACAAGAGTGGGTGAGGGGGAGATGACTCCATGACGTTAAAGCTATCCCATCGTGGGAGGGTGTTACCGACTAAACTTTCAACATTTTTGTAAGGAAAAGTTTTTGTTGAGAATTTTAGTTACTGATATGGCGATCGACAACTGATGACAGCAAATTTAATAATTTTCTACAAAAGCAATGACTTTTCTAATTAAATTAATAACTGTTAGAATTAGGCCCATTAATGCATTTCTAGGTGAATTTAAATAAAAGTTGACGCCACTTTACAATAAGGTTAGGGGGAAGTGATACTAAATACAACGTCCACCGTAGTGGATCAGGATGCAAACACATTGGAAATTTACAAATCTACATATTAATTGAGAATAAAAAGCCAGCAACATTTACATAGAATTGGTTGACTTGCATCATTGACACATTTTGACTCAGCCATGAAACTAGTTGCCAAACGTTTTGAAACAATCAATTCAGTTCTTAAATCAATTTAATCTTGAAATTGTGTATGTTATGCAATTAAATATGTAACATTATAATAATTTAATTACACATTTAGTATACCCATTAGAGGCAAATAGCTTCAATCGGATTCAAACGTTGTAAAAAGTATTGGTTGCTATTTTACTCATTTTCCAATACATAAAAAAAAGAAGACGAAGTTTAGTCCAAAAATGCGTAAACTCAAAAACATTTAAATACATTATATATATATATATATATATATATATATATATATATATATATATATATATATATATATATATATGGCACCCCGTCAAAAGAGCGCACGACAAAAGAGCGCTGACATAAGAGCGCCGACATAAGAGCGCACTAATTTCCCGACAAAAGAGCGCCGACATAAGAGCGCAAACGAAAGATAGAAAAACAATATTTAATAAATAGGAACAAGAACATTAACTCGGATCAGAAGGCTCCGTTTGATGTTAACTTTTTATTGTGAGCTTTACCTCGTAGGTAGTCCATCATTGAATCATAAGCATAGGTTGAAGCAATCGCCTGCAATCTTCGGTTCAGCTGAATATATTTGTTCTTTGAAGGTTCTGGTTGATTAACTCCCGCTAGATGACGTATTACCAGATCGAATTGGATGTGACCTTGTTCCAGACGAAACTGGTTGATCAACTTAAAAACGGAAGGATGATTACAATCTACTGTTTGTTGGAATGCGCGATGCCATGCCTCGAATTAGTTGTTTGTACGGGGTAGATTTTCAGCGACACGATTATGGACATTCCAAATAGCAAGAGCGAAGCGTGGGTCACCTCAACGGTTTCTCCTTTGTCTCCCTATGAAACTATCCTCCCAATAATCTACCAGTGGCATAATTTCGGCAGGACTAGATCTAGCTCGGCAGCCATCTTTCTTGCAGCATCATCATGTCGTTCTTCAATCAGCATTTGCTTTGTCCTTTCTATTTCTGTAGCCTTCGATTAATATAACCTTCCCTTTCTGTGATTCGAACGTCTCAATGATTCTTGGATTAGAAATATTTTCAAACTGTATTCAGAACATATTAATCATAATATATATAAATAAACACGTCGTTTTATCGTACCGCCAATTGTTTAATTAAAACAAGTGTAAACAATATCATATTCGTTTAGCGTACAACATGTATTGTTTTAATTGACTGCGCTCTTATGCCGGGGCTCTTTTGTCTGCGCTCTTTTGTCGGCGCTCTTATGTCGGCTATCTTTTGCCTGCGCTCTTAATTCGGCGCTCTTTTGTTGTGCGCTCTTTTGACGGGTCACCTATCTAATACTATAATGGGCCAAGTTCGCACATCTCTCTCTCTCTCTCTCTCTCTGTCCGCAAAAATTTTTCGCCGGACATCACGTCAGAAACGGCAGCAATATATGGAGAACTTTATACGGACTTTTGTTGAAAATAATATGTTAGATGTTTTAAATGTATAACCACAATTTTATTTAAAGAAGAAAAATATAAAATAAAGGCGTATTCGAATGTAGAGAAACAGTATTATTTATGCAACCAGAAAAGCATTAATAGATGTGTAAAAGAACGCATAAAACTGTGACGACACTATTGCTTACTAATGACGTCATCTGCCGTGTTTAGAATAAAAAAGAAATGAACTATTTCATTCAAATTTGATTTAGATCTACGTACACTATGAAATGTATACAATACAATTTTTCCGGCCTAAACTCATAACATTTATTAATACAAAATCTTTGTTTGGAACTGGCTAATTTGGGATAAAAAAATTAATTTGAAAGAATAGGCATATTCGCGTAACTTAAGATTTTAAAATACGTCTTTCATTCTCTGTATTTTATAAGGTGCCTAAATAGCGGAGATGTTAGTGTACTATAAACCACGCAGGTGGTGCGGGTTCGAGACCCACCAAGTCAACTTGGTTAATGTATTTTTTTTTTATTTTGCTCGGACAAAACTTAAAAAAAAAAAAATTCAATTAGGATTCTAGATCTAGATCTAGATTGTCGGGTGTCCGATAAGGCACTTCCCGGCGCCGCAGGCGCTTCAAATTTGGCAGGATCTTGCCTTGGGGCGACAGAGCACGGGGGCCGGTTGGCCGAAAAGTCTACGATGAGGGGGTCAAAACTGACCTCGACTGACCGGTACCTTATATGAGCTATAAATCGAAAAAAAATGTCCACGGAGGAACCTCTTCATAACTCTTGAGGTCGTGGACCGACCCTCGGGCGAATTAATTAAGCATTCAAATTCTCAATGTTTTCGAAAGCCTAAGCGAAGCTGGGCAGCATGCCTAGCATATATATACTAGCGTACCCGAACCCCGCGCGTTGCCGCGGGGCTAGAAGAAAGTTTGACGAAATATATTAGAAGGATTTCACCAACGCGTTACCAATCACGCGTGACCTTCTTTTCTAAAAATGAGTTATTTAAATGTAAACAATGCCTGCGCTTGGATCATAAATATCAGTACACGGGTTTACCTACACAACCGCATAAAAACCTTGAGTGTAAATTAATCACTCACCGAAATAATATGGTAGAACACACTTCGGTGACCGCCCATGTGTTAGAGACGTAGAGGCCCGCTCTCAGGAGCCCCCCCCCCCCGAGTACACTACTGCATAGGCGCGGCGTACGACCCCTGGCTCCTTAAAATAGCATCCTGTTAACAAGGATGCAGATTTCGTCATTCACTAAAGTGACACACAATTACGGGATTTGTTACTAAACACGTAAAAAAAATTATTTGACGCGTTTCAAACATCAGTGTGACTGATGCAATATGTTAGCGTTACTAATGGTCTATTCTTAGATGCTCGATCTCAATTTCTGTTTGGATTATCTAAAAATAGATGCTAATTGCATCATTCGCAAAGTGACGAAACTATTTGGTTTTTTTTTTACGGACGAAAAGAAACATCCCGGTTAATAATCTAACCTTGGTTAATTTTTCTGATTATTAAAATAAAACGTATTACATGGCCCTCAGCGGCCCATGTGAGCCTTTGGGGACCGAAACAGACATTTTTATTTGCAGCCTAATCGCACCCTAACAGAGCGCCAGAGGACACGCCTGATCCAATTTAGTAAGCGTTTGTAACGCCCCATCCTATTTATTGTCTATGACACTGTTTAGACCGAACGTATTCACCATAGCGCTCACGGGAAAGACCAGGGCGCCAAATTGCATCCTGCCGGGGGGCCGCCCCCAGTCAAAATTAAATTTCCCCGCCCACACCACCCACCCATCCCTATTCCCCCCTCCCACCACAGAAAACTTCTCTGGAGTATTCATCAACTACCTAAAGTTTTATGGCACCGGGATAAATTGCGTCGACCCGCAATCGTCTTTTATTTTTAAATACCGTATATTGAGAAAAATCCCACCATTCCGTGGCGCCGCCCTTGCGAAATTAAAAATTATTTTTTACAGAACCCTTCCCTGGAGTGTTCTAATCAAGGCCCTGAACTTTGATGGCTATCGGATGAACGTTGTGAGACCGCAATCGACTTTTATTTTTATATACCATATATATAGAGAGAGAAAAAAAATCGGGCCCTGCCAGGGCGCCACCACTGCAAATTTGAAAATTGTTTTAGCGCACAAACCTCCCCATGAATGTTTTCAACATTTTCCCAAAGTTTTATGGCGATCATGTGAACAGTGTCACGGCTATTCACTTTTATTATTTTTATATACCGTATATTGAGAAAAATCGCACCCTCCCGTGGCGCCGCCCTTGCGAAATTAAAAATGATTTTTGTACAGAACCCTTTCTGAGAGAGTTCTAATCAACTCCCTAAAGTCTCATGGTTATCGGGTAAACGCTGTCAAACCAAAATCGATTTTTATTTTTATATACCGCATATTGAGAAAAAACAAATCGCGCCCTGCCGGGGGGCCACCCCGGCGAATTTGAAATTTTTTTTTGCGCAGAAACCTCCCCAGGAATATTCTCAACAACTTCCCAAAGTTTCACGGCGATGTGATAAGAGATGTAGTAATGCATAAAATACAAACAAACAAACAAACAGACACACACACACACACACAAACATACATTGCTTTATATATATATAGATAGATAGAAGATAGAAGATATATATATATATATATATATATATATATATATATATATATATATATATATATATATATATATATATATATATATATATATATATATATATATATATATATATATTGAAAATACATATACACATAATATTCTTTATGGGGGGGGGGGGGACACACCATTATTTACCGCACCGGGTGACACCCGCCAGACCTAACGACGCCACTGATCCAAAGCATCTTTGAATCGAGAGAGAGAGAGAGGAGAGAGAGAGAGAGAGAGAGAGAGAGAGAGAGAGAGAGACTAATCTCTAGACTAGTTATTCAACCCAATACGTGAGAACTAGAAAATTTTAGCCCCTTGCACTAGTGGCCCTGGTCACGGGCAGAGTTTCTTCCAGGCATCTCTTCGAGGGGGGCTTTGCCCCCCCCCCCCCCCCCGAAAATTTTTTACCGCCCCCCCCCCGAACGAAATAAAATTTATATAATTTATATAGAAAATATATACTTTTAACAGTGTCCGCCACCCCCCTCCCCCCCCGAAGAAGGTCTACCGCCCCCCCCCCCCGAACGAAATGAAATTTATATAATTTATATAGAAAATATATACTTTTAACAGTGTCCGCCACCCCCCCCCCGAAGAAGGTCTACCGCCCCCCCCCCGAAAATTTCAAGTGCCCCCCCCCCGGAGAAAAATGTCTGGAAGAAACACTGATCACGGGGCAGAAAAAAACGCTACTAGTTGAAGCCGTCTGTCTTTAAACCGGTCATCTATTTCCGCCCGTCTGCGATGTATGCTATACTAAATACTTATATCTAGTAAATGGCTACCGATGTCTTACGTGTTTAAGTTTACCAGGATAGAAACGTCCTCATCTCAAAAACCAAGAACATCCACCAGGTTATAGGTGCATGCGATGTATGTTATACTTTCTTTCTTTTAAATTGCTTATCATTCAATTAAACGTTACTAGTAAATTTTGTATGATATTGAAATTGTTTATTGCGTAATTAACGTAACTAGTCAATTTGTTATGATATTTAAATTGGTTGTTGCGTAATTAACGTTATTAGTAAATTTCTTATGATCTTAAAATTGGGTAATACTTATTTAACCATTACTAGTAAATTTCTTATGATAAATTAAAAATAATGATTTTCTGTGCCACTATTATATTTTACTTCTTTTTCATATTGTACCTTTCTTAAAAACGTTAGCCCCTCTCCCTGCCGCTGCCCGCATATATTTCCAGGTAATCTCGATTTAAAAACGATTAAATCTTTTTCAGGAAATAAACATTACGTCTTAATATGGACGCGTGCTGAAGAATGATTTTTGAAGAAATAGAGAGACTCCTCAATATTTTGCTCTATGTGAGAGGAATTTATGCAACTAAGACTCGGTAAATGTTTTTGTGTAAAACGCATTTTAAAAAAGTGAACTTAGGCCTGCCATGCAAAATGCTGAATACAAAACAACAACTAATGTTTAGAAATATTTACTTTAAAAGTTGTGTTTATATGGGTTATTTTTTATGTTTGATGATATGTATACATTTTGTCTTTTATTATTTGACAGCAAACTGTGATGTTATGATAGACATGAACATTTTCTGGAAGTAGTCCGCAACAGGTTGTGCTATTTGGTTTTACAACCCAAGATGGAAAACAGAAAAGGTAAAAGCTACTTCTAAATATTTAGTTGCGATAGAGATAGAGATAGAGATAGAGATAGAGATAGAGATAGAGATAGAGATAGAGATAGAGATAGAGATAGAGATAGAGATAGAGATAGAGATAGAGATAGAGATAGAGATAGAGATAGAGATAGAGATAGAGATAGAGATAGAGATAGAGATAGAGATAGAGATAGAGATAGAGATAGAGATAGAGATAGAGATAGAGATAGAGATAGAGATAGAGATAGAGATAGAGATAGAGATAGAGATAGAGATAGAGATAGAGATAGAGATAGAGATAGAGATAGAGATAGAGATAGAGCAAAGGAATATGACGTTTAAAACATTTATTTATTAATACTGAATAGTCCAGTGAGACAGAAATCAATCGCCTGCTGACACTTGATGGACTGTCGGATTTGCCACGTCGATATCCAGAACTAAACTCTTGAGATTTGGTTAACAATACCCCAAACCACTATCCGCTGATGCCGCAGTGGCGTAGCTAGCATTTTCGGGCTGTGATGGAAATATTATCACTGTGCCCCTTGGTCAATCTATAAATTTTGTATTTTATACGTCCTAATTTGTGTATTTATACGGTATTATTATATAGTACCCCGTAAGGTTAAACACCTTTGATTTAATATTACTTTTATGTGGGTTGGGTGACACTCAATAAAAGCACAGGTACCTTGTGACGACACTAACCAAATACAATTTTAAAAATTTGCTCCTTGAGGTCAATTTTAGCTGCTTCTGTATGTTCGATACTTAGGATGGCCAAGTTACTGACCCAACGGGTATATCTACAACTTGTTTTAAAAAATCATCCTAAAGGAGAGACTCGGGGCGCCAATTCGAATAGGCTACCTCTGCCGGAGAACATCCCTTATTTTATTTAGTCATCGATAATATTAGCCCTCAGTATCCCCATGGCATGGCGCTCATTAAAACAAATATATGTTCCGTAGTGCTCACGGGGGAACCCGTGGTGCCGGCCGGTGCGCCTATGCAGTTTGACCGTTGAATTAAGCAATAACCTTGATCACTTGTGCAGGACACCCAATAAACTAAGAAAGCGGCTGTAACTCTGCTCAGGGGTGGCAAACCAAACAGCATTAATGCGCTGCCCTCCGAACGAATTTAAAATAATTTAATGGCAGAAAACTTTATAGGAGTTTCTTTGTAGCTTCTCTTCGAGTGGTAAGCATTTCACGGTTAGTTGAGGTTTGTCTGAAGTATTCTAAACTACATCCCAATGTTTCAAGACGATTTAATCATTTTTGTATTAATGAATTAAGATAAGGCAGATAGACAAAACAATTTTTTTAGTAGCGGCATATCTATAATAATAGGTTCGCTGTCTGTGTATCTATCTATCTGTGTATGTATGTATCTGACAAGAACGCTCTAGAGAAAACACAAGCAAATTAAAAACATGCATAGTAATTCGAAAAACGAAATATGACGTCGTATTGAGCATAGAGTAGAAAATAATATCAAGCCGGAGAATGCACACAGTAATATGACGTCATTGATTCTCGAGTAAACATTGAATAAAAAGGCAATTTTGTCTAATCTAAGTGGTTTGTGTGAAGAGTTTCTTTCATACAATTCTTCGGGTAGGGGCGAAGCCCCACCCCCGCGTTAGAACGTCTGAGCCCCCCCCTCCCCAACTCAAAAGAAATTTCTTCATCGATACTCTATAATAAAATTACCGCCTAATTAATGTGTCTAATCTAAAAAGTGGTTTTCTTGCAATTTCTTTAATGCAATTCTTCGGGTAGTGGCTAAGCGCGACACCAGTGTTTCTTTCAGACTTTTTCCTCCCCGGAGGGGGGAACTTTTTCTAATCTAAAAGTTGTTTAGCGTGCAGTTTTTTTTTTCAAGCATCTCTTCCGGTAGGGGCGAAGCCCCGCCCAGATTCTTCCTTTAGTTTGTATGATCTACAAATGCGACCAGTGTTTCTTTCAGACTTTTTCCTCCCCGGAGAGGTGTGGGGGTACTTGAAATTTTCGGGGGCGGGGGTAGAATTTTTTGGGAGGGGGCGGACACTGGAAAAAGTATATAATTATATTTCGTTGAATGGGACGGTAGACATGTTTTGGAGTGTGTGTGGGGGGGGGGGGGAAGGGGGGCGAAGCCCCCTCATCCCAAGTAGAGTTGCCTGAAAGAAACTCTAAATGCGACTTTTGTCATGAATGAGATTAGGTGCATGGTTTATTGATATGCCTATGACTATATTTTGTATAAATTAAAGTACCGAGAAAATAGACAGCACTATCAACCTAGCGCCCGTTGTATCCTTCCTCAACGGGCCATTTTTCTCGTTATTAAATAAGAGCAAAACAAAATTTTGTTAGGATTAAAACTAGTAGAAAAACATTGACAAAGGTTTGACTTAGCTTGTTGTGAAACACTGCCCACGACCAAATTTTAATCATGAATGGAAGGAATTTCGATGAGGACAGAGAGTTGAGAGGGAGGTGGGGGTGCAGGTTTGTGGGGGCGGGGTGGAGCGTTTCCATGTTACTAAAGATTTGTAGCAATACGTGGCAATTAACGGGTGCCGGATGCCAATCTTACACAAGATTCACTGTTCAAGTTTCTGTATATTCTAATTATCTCAACGTTTGCCCGACAAAAAAATAATGCCTGTAGTGTTATCAATACCGATGGGCCCTGTACGACCTCCCTTCCTCTCCCACTGAATGCCACTGCCTGTACAAAAACAAAGGTCTGTGGGCCTTTTTTGGAACATTTGATTATTTTCACAAAACAAAAGAAGCTGGATTTCCATATTCTTTTTTTTTTACTTTCTCGTATATACGAAGTATAGAGAAAGTCTTGTAATCGTGCAAAAAAAAAATCGAGATTTTTACAAATCTCGACGTTTTACACCTCACTGATACGGAAAAACATAATTTTGCAATCTTGTCCCTATGTCTGTGTGTCTGTCTGTGTGTGTGTGTGTGTGTCCGTGTGTAAACACGACAACTTGAGTACCGTTACAACTAGGTTGATGAAATTTCATATATAAGTATTTTATCAAAATCGTAGATCAGTATCAACTTTTGAGCGATTTCCGATAACCAGAAGTGCTACTTTTCCTACTTTGAATTTTTCAAAAGCCTATAACTTGAGTACTATTTCAGATAGATAAATGAAATTTCGCAAGTGAGTAAACGATCTAATTCTCTACCTTCTATTAAATTTTGAGTAATTTCCGTTGACCGGAAGTAGTAATTTACGCTACTTCCGATTTCTCAAAAAACTAATGTAAATTTTTAAAATACTAATAATATTGCGCACTATTATGCACTTTTTTTTATTTGGCGTTCACTTGGTGTGCAATTAATTTGTCTACGAGATTGTACTCTATTTTTAAAACTTTAAGTATTTAAAATAGATTAAAAATCATGTCTACAGCCCGAGTTCCCATCCCCTGTTATTTTATATAAAAATATTCGAGAAAGTTTAGGGGAGATCACTCCCGGTTTATTTAACACAAAAATATGAAAATTCTAATGTAAAAATTTTATATTTTAGAGAGGGAAAAGGGCCCATACTTTCCTATGCCTTGTTGACGTTAGCTTTACGGTAGCTACGCCGCTGGTATCCCGTACAAGATATAGTGACAGTCTAACAAAATTTTGCGGTTTTTAATACTATTTTTTTTTAAATTAAAATTAATTATCTTAAAATATCCAATGAAAGTGTAACGTGCTTGATTGTTTTTTAATAAAAAGTAATTCTACACTGCACGATGACTTATGATTTATTTAAACATAGTAGAAATTTGATGATGCTTGAAGAAGATCTTATTGAAATTTAATATCTATTACAGAGTTTTTGATTACATAAACATAATTAGGCGTACGTTTACTTTATAGGTGAAATGTCCAGCAAAAAAGATCTTAAAATTGTGCTGATAGGAAGAACTGGATATGGCAAAAGTGCAACAGGCAACAGTATTTTAGGGAGAGAAAAGTTTGACGTATCAAGTAGTCTATACTCGTGTACTAAATTAGTTGAAAATGGAGAAAAAAAAGGAAAAGAATTTACACATACTATCCTTGATACAAGAGGACTATTTAATGCTGATTATGATTCAAATAAAGATACTGTAATTACTGTAAAACACATGGAGGAGCTAATGAAAGAATGTCCTAAAGTAGATGCATTGTTGCTTGTTTTAAGACCTGACATATTTACAAAGGAAGATGCAACAATTATTGAACAGCTTAAAACAATTTTTGGATCAGGTGTTTTCAAAGAACACTGTTATTTGGTTATGACACACGGGGATAACTACGAGGGAACCATCTCATTTAAAGAATTCTGCGAGACCTCTACTGGTAAGTTCAAAGAACTTTACAAAGAGTGCGACAAGCGAATATTTTTAATCACAAACTGGGGAGGCTATGAAAAGAACTCACCCAGAGTTACCCAAGCAGAAACCCTGATAGCGAGGGTTCAAGCATGGCGGGCCAATAAAAATCCTTACACAGCTGAGAAAGAATTTAAATCTGCCGCCCTAGCACGCAAACAGTTGGCTTTTGATGCAGATAAAAAAAGTATTGAAAAAAAGTTTATGGAAACGATTAATAATTTAACAATAGAAATGGAACAGTATGAAAACAACAACACAAAACCTTCTACTGATTTCAAGAATGCGCAATGATATTAAACAATCTGACCCAGATCCCAATACGGAGAATTTGAAATTGTTTCTGGAAGAAACTAATGAGCTGATACGGAAAGCTGATTTGTTACCAAAACAGTCATCAAACTGTACAATACAGTAGATATTGCATCATATATATATATATATATATATATATATATATATATATATATATATATATATATATATATATTGATAAATAAGAGTACATTTACATATAACTATCACAATAATTTTATAAAAAGCCCATGTGCGCAAGATCCCCATTTATTTGTCACCTTTGTTATATTTTTATGACATTTTTTTGCCTCAGAGTCAGTTTACCGTACCATATTTGCTTTAGTATTACAGTTTTCATCATCGGCTTATGAGGACAGATACAGATTTACAATAGCAATACTTCTTTCAGTCATGTACTTTTGTTATTTTATGATGATTTACTTATACATTACAAAAAACGTCTAATTAAATTTTTGTTCTCAAACCTGAAAATCAAAATGTGTTATGAAATGGTGTTTCAAGGATCTGTAGGTAGGGTGGGTTTATAAGGTATGGGCTTATAAGCAGTGATGAGGTAGATTTGATTTAAAGAAAAAATATGACAAATATTATAACAAAACCACAGCTAAATACTAATATAAATGTAGAGCTTATAGATACGTAATTTTGTGAAAATTAGAATGTACCATCAAGTCACTTAACATGATTTGTTATGGGCATAAACCTGTGCATTTGGGTTAGTGTATAGTAATATAGATCTACGTATTTAGAAAATAAAATTTATAACTTGGCAGGTTGCTTTGCATTTTCTTTTGTAAGATGTCTATAAAATGGAACAAGATAATCATTAAAAGATATTCTATTGTCTATTTATTGTCGATGCATAGTTTGAATGCAGATATTGAAGGCCCACTAGCTAAATAAAAATGAAAATGTAGTAATTACTTACAGTGTTTTATTAAAAAGATGTTATGTTTTTATAGGACTTTAGAATTTGTCATTTTGTAGAGCATTTAATTACAAACTCGAAAATGACTTACTCAGTTGGCGATTGAGCTCTTATCTTCTTCTTCTTCTTCGTTCTTAATTGAAAATATGGTGGAGGATTCAGACAACAAGTACAACTTCGTGAACAAACCAGACTGTGGTCTCCAGGTTGGCAGGCGCCCCATATAATTTTCCCTGAGTGGAGTGGGAAGGGGCCTGTGTCTGACTCGTGCCTGGCTATACAAAGAGCATTCCTGAAGGACGTGCTCCGTATTTTCCGGGGCCCTGCCACAAGGGCACATCTCGCCACACCCAACCTTCAGTTTTTTATGCACGTGTTGATTTAGTCTGTTATGGCCTGTTCTAAGTCGAAAGATTATGCATTGTTGTTTTCGTGTCAAATTATAATAGCCATCCTCTTTATTGTAGAGAGGGTGTGCGTTTGTTTGTATTTTATTATTCTTTTTATTTCTTTTTGGGTGTAACGGGATTTCCGGTTGTGGTTTCTTTCCCCCAGCTAGTCTGCAATCCCGTTACCCTGGATCTGGCAGTGGCCCGGGATCCACTGCAGTACAATTCTGCTGCAGGTTTTTATTAGCCTTTCTAGTGCTGTCCTAAGTGTTTGAGTATAGGACTCTGGATTTTTTTAGGGATTGCAGGACAGATTTGGCATCTGTAAGAAATACTATCTGACTATTTGGTGATTCAGGGTGTTCTGACAGGAGGTTTGCTGCAAGCTCTAAAGCTTCTTTTTCTACCCTAAAATTGTCGGATAGGCTGCCTGTGGCTATTGACTTTTCTAGGCTTTATCCGCTTGGCCATTAAATAAGGACGCCATCCCCGCCATTTTTTGTGGCAACTTCAGCTGAGCCAACTGTGAATACTTTAATCCAGGTATTGCTGGGGTACTGATCCTTAATGTGCTTATTTGTTATTTTCTTTAGTTCTTCTAGATTATGGTCAGATTTTTTGTCTATGGTGTCTATTGAGTCAATAATGGTTAAATGACAGTGGGAGATCCAAGGCGGGGAGAAGTTTTGAGTTTTTATTGCTTCAGGAATGATATTTGCGATTTCATATTTCTTTTTTAGATTCTTTGCTTTTTTAATGAAACTTGTTCTGTGTAGTCTGTTTGATGGACTGGGTTTCTGGAGTTTGTGTTTTAGATTATGGTTTTCTAGTGCCTCTAGCTTTGTGTATAGTTTTCATGGCTTCTGTCATTATTCTCAAACCAATGTTCTGAACTTTGTCAATTTTGCTAATATTTGTTTTTGCTGCTGAGCCCCAAGCCGAAGCACCATATTCTAACGTAGGTCTCACATAGCTGGTGTTGGTTTTTTTCAGGATTGATGATTTGCTCCCCAGTCTGTTCCTGCCAGTTTCCTCATTGGATTAAGTCTTTTAATCTCATTGCTTTGTGTAGTTTCTATTTGATTTCTCCAGGTAAGTCGAGTGTCAAAAGTGACTCCTAGGTATTTGGGGTGGTCATTTTTTCTAGTTCTTGGTTTTCAAGGGTTAGTTTCATTTTTTGATGTTTAGTTGATAGGGTGAAGATTGAATAGGTTGTTTTCTTGGTATTAATAGATAAGCCCCAGTTTTTGGTCCATTTGCCGAGCTTGTCAAGTGTTTCTTGAAGATGACATTTTGAGGTACCAATATATTCCTCTGTGCTGATTAGTGAAAGGTCGTCTGCAAACATGCTATTTTTTTACTCTCCTTGGGATGTTTTCATTTAAGTCATTTATATAAATGATAAAGAGAGTAGGAGACAAGTTTCCTCCTTGAGGGACTCCATTTTTTATAGTTACAGTGTGACTTCTTTCTCCTTGCACGGAGACTGATGCTTTTCGGTTGTTTAGGTAACCTTTGATCCAGTTTAGCATGTTATGAGATACTTGATGGTTTATTAGCTTTAGAATTAAACCTTGCTCCCAGACCTTGTCAAAGGCTTTTTCAAAGTCGACCCACACTTATTAATATTAACCGTTTATGTGCACCAGATTTAGTAAAGTGAGTAGTCTCTCGTGTATTAATTTTAAAAAAAATACAATAGAATCGCGTAGATAAAAAAATTGTGCACCAAATGAAAGTAAAAATTGAGTGCATAATAGTACTGAATAATAGTGTTTTATAAAGAAAACATAGATTAATTTTTATAAAGGTAATTAAACATCTAAATAACTATCGTTTTATCATCAAGTTTTGACCAAAGTGAAAAGTTTAAATCAAATCGTCCTGTAGGCCTATATATAGAGTGTAGACAAAGAGAGATTAATTGTTTTTTTAATGAGCCAGAAAGAGAAAAATAGTACTTTCAGTCATCAGAAATCACTCAAAATGTGACAAAATCCAGTGATTCTCGTCCACCCTTTAAAACTGTATTTGTATCCTCGGTATTTTAGAAACTATAAATAAAATACCAATTTCGGACATCGGAGGTCGCTAAAAAATTAAAGGTAATCCAAGTATAAGATATTTTTTTTTAGTAATATAAGAAATTTAGTTTACTTAAAAATGAAACAGAACTCAAAAAATCATGTTCCCACAAAAAATACAGTAAAGTACCTCACTCGTACACACCTACACGCATGCACACACACAGAATCACACATACGCACACACACACAGAATTAAACACACACAAACCAACTTGCCAGCATATATATATATATATATATATATATATATATATATATATATATATATATATATATATATATATATATATATGTTACGGTCAAAGCCCGAAGTGCGGACAAAGCGCGGATTGGCCGGCCAATCCGCGCATTGGCCGGCTCTCTTGGCCAAAGCCCGAAGAACTTAGCACTAAGATCGTATTTCGTACATTGGCCGGCCAATGCGCGCACTGGCCGGGACGTACTGGCCAAAGTCCGAAGCGCTTAAACTTGACAGCGTATTTTGTACATTAGCCGGCCAATGCGCCCACTGGCCGGTATGTCCAATGTTCTATCTAGACTTAGTTGTGATCGCATTTTCATTACTCTGGGTGCGTTTTCATTGAGAGTAACGTATTGTTTAGCTCTTGTTTGTATAGCATTCTATATGCAAGGCGACATGGACCAAAAAGGTCTTCAGACCATGAGACAGACATAGCAGATGGCTGTCAAAAGAAAAAAATGTAAATCCATGTTAGTTTCCATATATGGGCTCTCGATAAAATAGTTACTGAGGTAGATCTTGAGAACATTGAACAAGAAATGGAGGTTGCCATAAATGCAACGATATCCTCAGCTAACATATCTGCTGCCGTGGCGGAACGCCCTGACCAGTTGCGTGACAATAATGTGGCCAACAGTTTCTGTATAGTTTGTGAAAAAATAGTGTAGTGCAGCCCATTCTTGTGGATCCTTTGGCAACGATGTCCATACAATATGCGGAATAGCCAATGAAGCAGATGAAGGGTACGGAGGGAACATTACCTGCAGATTGTGTCACAACAAACAAGACATCATGGAACACAGGTCAGCAGCTTATACTGGCTTTCAAACTCAAGGTGCTAAGATGCTTAAAACATCACATACAAAATTTAAAGATGGTGAAGTGGGTGACAATGTACGCATCCGTTTTCCAGATGTTGACAGAGGTCACGGTGATCCCCGAAGCGTGATTGCAGTTGTCATGAGCGTCGAGGGCGGTTTCTACAAATTAGGAACGGAACATGGTGTTCTAAAACAACTGTATGCCAAAAGTGAGTTTTCAATTCTTCGCGAAAAACTGCTCTTATTGTCGTCAGTTGGCACTGAGGAAAAATCACTAAGAACCATCGCATCTTCACAATCATTGACTGTGGGCCAAGGCTACACTCGCTGCAATTGCACAACTAAGTGCACAACAAATCGCTGCAAGTGTAAAAATAACAAGCTGCTATGTAATTCTAAATGCCATAAAAGTTCAACTTGTTGTAACAAATGATGATATTGATAGATTGAGACTATAGTACAATAAAAAAATTGAATGTTTCTGTCATTTACTTTAATTAATAATCAATA